GAATAGAAGGGGCGGTTCCCTGTCTAATCCAATTCACAAATTAAGTTCGTCATGTAAAATATGCCTGTTTTCTTGTAGTATAGTGCGTACTGAATTAAGTTCGTCATGTAAGACAACTTTCAATAATTAATACACAATTATGGATATATAATACATAGATGATTTGATGATATAAATAAACATTATAATTTACTCAATAAAATGAGGTAATTTGGGTGATGTAGTAGCTAGCGTATGAACTGATACAAAATCTCTTAAGGATAAGAAATGCAATAAGTCTTGTATAGGGTAAAAAATTACGTTAATTTCAATGTAATACATGCGGAACGCAAATTTATCACTTAACTAAAGTTATTAAATGAATTTCTCTTTGTATTAAAAAAATTAGAAATATAACATTCTGAAATAGCTTATTGGTCCCTTGAAAAAAGAAAGATTAATTGAATTGAAAGATTAAAAAAAGAAATAGAACAGAATGGTAGCAGGATGATGTCTTAATGTGGTGAACAATATAATTGTCCAAAAAGCCATGCACCACTCACGTGAGACAAACAGCAGTAGTAGTGTAAGTATCAGAATTGGTGAGAGTGTGCCGTTAAAGCAAATCACATGCTCCGTTGTTATAATAATGGATTTAATTTAATTACATGTACTGTGCCGTTAATTGTGTTAGGACACTCACTGTAACAGGAAGTAAATATTTATGTGGAGGATAAAAATTATATAGAAAGATAGAAATAAGACAAAAAAAAAAAAGTGATCAAGTGGGGCAATAGGTAATATATTCATGGACAACAAGAATTTTGGGGAAAATTGTAACTTTATTTAGGATGGGAGGGGCAATAAGTTTCTATTCCCTCTATCACAGAAAAATTGATATTGATATGTTGAAATAGCTTTGATTATAGTTTTTTTAAGTAACATGTCAAAAATCAATTTTATCTTGAAATATGTTATTAAATAGGTGTGAAATTTAGTTTCATGATTTCAACTTTGAAATACGTTTTTACTAATATTTAATTATATACTTCGTATACATTTAAGGTCAAAATATTACATTGGCATAATAATTAATCTTAATTATAAAATTTTGATACAAATTAACAATTGTAAATAAATCAATAATTAAAAAAAAAAAAAAAAAAAAAAAAAAAAAAAGGCAAGCTAGATGATCAAGTTATAATTTTCATATAAAAGCACTTTGCGTCTTCAAGATATCATATCTTATCACTTCAAATGAGTAGCTCATGAGCTAGCATAAATAAACAAATACAGCTCATAAATATAAATAAACGAGTAGTTTGTGAACATAAATAAACAAGCAGGTCATGAACATATGTAAACGAGTTGTTCATAAACTTATTTGAACGAGTAAATCTATGTACGTGTTCAAGCTCATTTATTAAATGAGCTTCAAAATTGTTCAAGTTCAGCTCGTTTATTAAATAAACAAACGTGAACAAGCTCCAACCGAGCTCGAACACTTGTATTTTATTGATCTGCTCGGTTCATTTACAACCCTAATAATGACACAATTCTTAATAGATAAAATTAGACATGACCATGTACGTAAGTAATAATGTATGTAATTGTACAACCAAGTAAGTTGGGTTGAATTTGAGTCAAGTTGAATACAAGTTAGGTTAGTGACTAATTTGGTTGAATTTGGGTCGAGTCATTAATAAGTTAAGTTGAACACGGATCAGGTTAATAACAGGTCAAGTTGAATATATCGTTTTGCCTATTCTTCATAATATGAGTTGTAAATTTTACAAGCTTCAAATCTATGACTAGGGTATTCATGAGTCCATGACTTTAATCTTGCTCCCAGGACACTCACTGAAACTTGGTGTTTGTAAGAGATTGAGAAATTGTTACTGAAATTCCAATATACAAACACATACATGTTCCCTAAAGTACAATACCATTACCATAATCTATATGTTAAAGGTGATTTCTAACAAACTTTAATATTACAGGAGTTTTCTAACAACATTTTCTAATAATTTTGGGGGTTAAATGAAGACAAGTGTCTTGCACATATGCTCAGCTAATGCAAGAAAGTTTGGTCAATAATGTCACATATTCGTGTAATAGGTTGTTTTTTTTTTTTTTTTTTTTTTTTTTTTTTGAAAAGTGCAATAGGCTATATATTAGACCTGGTAAATGGGTCATTCGGGTCGGGTCTGGGTCGGGTCAAGTTCGGGCCGGGTCGGGTCATTTTGGGTTTCGGGTTGATTTTGGGTCAACTGATAATCTGGTCGGGTCGGGTATCGGGTCAACACTTCGGGTCGGGTCAATTTTCGGGTCGGGTCAGTTCGGATCAGGTCGATTTTTGGGTGCAAATTTCGGGTCAACTTCGGGTCGGGACATATTCGGGTCGATGCACTGGGTTAAATTCAACTCTGTATATATATTTATTTATTTTTTGACAAGAAACTCACTATATTTATTAAGGCTACTTTTTTCATGGAATATACTCATATAGTAATTGTGAGACTTTTGTTGACCTTGTTTTTTTTTTTTTTTTGGTATTTAGATTGAGAATCAATTTCAAGATCTCTTGAAATTAAGAGGGATGCTCTAACTAATTGAGTTATACGCTTATACGAGTTATACCTTACTCTTTTATTGTCCTTAGTTTTAATACTCTTATTATCATTGTCACTGTTTACTGTTGTAATATTTATTTGTATTATTCTTATAATAATCTATAATATAATCTATGTTTTTTAAGTGCTCCATTAATTTTAACTGGACATACACTGATACATGTATGCAGGCATGTCGTGTAAGAGATTGATTAATAATAGACTTCCTATTATAATAACTTACGAATTTTTAATAACTTATAAAGAGGAAAGGCCAAAGAAATCGAGAAAAGTAATGCTCAAAATATGTAAATTACTTACACTGTTAGTTTGTTACACATTACAAATAAAAAAAATGAAGTCAGTTTGATTGCGGTTATTTTCTATTTCGGTTTGCTCAAGTTAAATCGTTAGCTTAAAAGCTTTAGTAGATTCTGGTCATTTCAGGTATAAGGTAATCTTAGTTCGAGTCACTTTGGATTTCGAGTCTATTTGGGTCAATTAATCCAAGTTAAAGATCGGGTCACTTCGGGTCGGGTCAAGTTCGGGTTTCGGGTCACTTCGGGTATCGGGTCAACTTCGGGTCGGGTCATTTCGGGTCTCGGGTCAACTTCGGGTCGATTCATTTCGGGTCGAGTCAACTTCGGGTTGAGTCACTTCGGGTTTCGGGTCAAGGTCGGGTCAATTCCACTTCGGGTCGGGTCGGGTTGCTTCGGGTTTCGGGTCAATTTTGGGTCACTGTGTCCGGGTCGATTTTGGGTCATTCGGGTCTGGTCATCGGGTTTGGGTCAAGTTTGCCAGGTCTACTATATATACAGCAAAATTTATATAAAAATTTCTAATAACAATTTTTTATAAGGTGGTTTCTTACAAATAAATTAGGTTTTTAAAAGGTGAATTATGGCAAAATTTTTGTTAATGAAATGAAATTATCAAACAGAGTTGACCCCTAGAGCATGTAACAATCACTGTGGGAACGTAGGTTATAATTTGTTTTTTTATTTTTAAGCTTTTCCAATACTTATCAAAAAAAAAAAAAATTGCATTGAAAGAACAAAATCTTTATTGAGTAAGGCCCTGATCACTTCACTTTAAAAAAAAATATACAATAAAAATAATTTCAGTTCACTAAAAATAAGTTAAGTTCGGTAAAATTTCAGTTCAGTAAAAATTAGTAGATTTAACGATAAAGATATAAACAGTCCTTAGGGCTGCATATAAAAAGCTAAAAGTGGAAAGAATTGACAATAAATAAACATTTATTACACCGATTTACTTGTAAATTGTCGATAAATTCCCAACTTAATACTAAAGAAGGAAGTATATTAAATGCCTATATGCTGCTGCATATAGCATTACCCTAACTTTAAAGAGGAAATATACTGAGTAACTGAAAATCAGTAAAAATAATTTTAGTTCCGCAAAATTAATTTCAGTTCAGTAAAAATAATTTAAGTTCAGCAAAAATAATTTCACTTCAGTAAAAATAATTTAAGTTCAGCAAAAATAATTTCAGTTCAACAAAAGTAAGGTGAAGTGAACGTAGTCTAACTCTTAAGAATTTTGCCATATTCCTCAAGCATAACATGAGGCATACATGAAACAAACCAATTCAAGGTATCAAACTAAAAGGTTGTATCTAGTTCAACTTATTTTTACATATTTTAGATCAAATATTAAAAAAATAAATTCAAATTAATCAGATTAGAATTTAATTTTTTTTTGACGTGCTTTATCGTTTAATTTGCGGGTTTTTATAGCTAAATATCAATAATTCCTTAATGAAAAAAATATGAAGATTACATATTAATAAAATACATATTATTACGAATCTAACAATACCTCAATCATACATTTTTTCTTTATAAATTAGCATACAAATAAGGACAAAAATTAGTCTAATCTTAAAACCATATTAGATTAAAAAAGAAAAAATAAGTATTGATTAAATAAGTAAAAATAACTTGAATCAAATAAGCCCTAAGTTTATTTTAATACTGGCACTGTCCTTCCAATCATAACTAAGGCCCCAGTAGGGGACAAGTCCATTTTAAGGGTAAAATCCCTTAACTTTATCCATCACCTTTTTTTTTTTTTTTTTTTGGGAGGAACTTTATCCATCACCTTTAAAGTGACTAAATTGATATTGGGTTATGTTTACCTTCAAAATAAATAATAAGTATTAGGGCTAATTAAGTCTAATCAGAGTTGCTTAGATACAATCAAGTATAAATGTAAGAAGAAATTAGAGGTAATCTACTTTAGTCAAGTTTAATAAGGCAGAAATTAGGACTAATCAAGTCTAATACTTTGTAAGATATAATACCATTAACTTTTAAAAAATTTCAGATGAAGAAAAACGTATGCTATCCCAAGAGTTAACTTATATTGATCTAACCCGAGAGTTAACTTGTATTGGATTTTGACCCAATAAGACAGTTATTCTTACTTAAGAAGAATAATAAGAATTCATGGCTTACAAGGTTGAAGACAATTCCTGGCAAAATCTATTCCTTTCCTTTCCTAACTTTGCCATCAACATCTAATTCCTTTCTTCCTTCAATACAGAGGTTACCGTTTAATTCAACTCCAAAACTGCCAAATGTCAACCATCCAATCATCCATCACCCAATTCACCCACATCAGCCGTCCGATTAAACTTTAAACATTCAACTAACTCATTTTCATCCCCACTATAAAATAAAAATTAAAAAAAAAAACCTTGAAAAATAAATTTTCCCAAAAAAAAAAGAGAAAATCTAAAATCCAAAGAAATGAAGGGAGAGAGAGAGGGAGGTGGTAAATTTGAAAAAAAAACAGGGATAGGCACAAATAAACATCTCTGACTCTCTCTCTTCCCTCACTTTCTCTCTCCTCTTTCTCAGTCACTATCTCTGCCGACTTCGCAACGGTTAGCCGTCGCTCTTCGGCGGAGAAATTTCCGACCGCCGCCTCCGCTGTCGTCTTCTCTCTCCTCCTCTTCTGTTTTTATTGATTTTTCAATAATCCGTGAAGATAATCTACTATAAGTACGGAACTACGGATAATCTATGTATTCAATATTTGAATGTTTGATATTCTAATTTGTTTGATTTTGGTAATGATTTTGTGATTATATATCTCATTGTAGTATTTGATTTAGGTTTTGTATGTTTCTTATTGATGTGTTTTTTTTTTTTTTTTTTTTTTTTAACTTTATTTGAAGATGTTTGTTGGTGTTGAATGTTTGAATCTGATTTTGTGCATATACATTGATTGAAGTTGTTTTTGTTTGATTTTTGATTGTGCTATTGTAATTACTTCAAGTTTCAGCTTCAAATGTTATTGTATTAAGCTTTAATTTATTTATTTTGATGTAAGAATATTGTTATATGTGAAATTATCTTTTGTACAATGCATTTGATGCGATTAATCGTAATATTACTTTGTAAATTTAGCTCAATAGCTATGAATTATCATCATTGTGGTTTAATGATGTATTTAAGCTGCGATTTCTGTCGATTGCGGCTCAAATTAGGCGATTCAATTGAAATTATTTAATGAACATTCCAGTGTTGTACAGTTTCTTCATTTGGTAATTATATCTATGTTATGAATGTAATGCTGAACATGTCTTACTTTGGGTGAAAATTTGTTTACCTTTTCTGCATTTGTTTTGTTGTGTGTTTCAGGAATTCAAAATGATTGGGCATTTTCTTACCAGAGGACTTGTGTAAGTCACTAACTAATACTCTTTTATCTTATGATTTTAAGTGGCGGCTCTAATTTCGGTCTTAATTGGATGATTGTTTTGCAGGATGATTTTTGGCTATGCCTATCCGGCATATGAGTGTTATAAAACGGTTGAGAAGAATAAACCGGAGATAGAGCAGCTCCGCTTTTGGTGTCAATACTGGTATATACTAATCCGATTTGGTTCTTTTGTGTATTTCTTTCTGTTTAATTAGTGAAACATTTGAAGTGAAGTACTTATATTTGCAATTTTGATATTGTTTCGGCATGATTTCAGGATTTTAGTTGCTCTAATGACGGTCTTTGAGAGGGTTAGTGATACGTTCATTTCGTGGTAAGGGTGCTGCTGGAAATGATTTTGATTTCCTTTGCAATGTCAAGTGGTCGTTTAATTGTATAATCTTTCTTTTTTATAGGCTTCCCATGTACAGTGAGGCTAAATTGGCATTCATAATCTACCTGTGGTATCCTAGGACAAAGGTATTAATATGTATGAACAACTGTTTGATTTTTATGTCAAAAGATTAGGTTTTCTTTCTTTTGTGACTGATTATTTTGTTTCAGGGAACAACATACGTTTATGATTCCTTCTTTAAACCATATGTTTCAAAGCATGAGACGGAAATTGATCGCAACTTGCTGGAATTAAGAATTAGGGCTGGTGATATGACTTACACGTACTGTCAGAAAGCTATGAGCTATGGTCAGACAAGAATCTTTGAGATTTTGCAGTATGTTGCAGCACAATCTACCCCAAATCGTCGTCCTACCCAGGTATTTATTTTAAGCTTTATTGTTCACCAGGAAAATGGCAGTGTGACATTTTTACAAGTGTTATATAGTCATTCCATTGACGAATTTGGTTGATTCGTGTTTGGGTAAGTATGGTTTGCTAGTTCAACTCCTGAGAAAAATATAATAGAGTTTTTAGGTAAGCCACAAGTAATATGCTGCATTTTGTGATTAGTCATTTTATCACCAAAAGATTCAAACTCTTTTTGTATTTTCAGTAACAAATTCATAATATTTATGGCATTTAGAAATAAAAGTTTCAGTTCTGGAAATCTTTATAGATTGCTTACGCATCTGATTATGATGAATATTAGTAATCAGAGATATAGAATTCCTGCTGCTCTCAATACTTTTATGGTTTTCTCATTTATAAGACAAAAGGAAGTTGAATTATACAGCTCAATTTTACAGATGGTCTGTTGGACATTTTTCTGGTTATTTGGGGAAGTGTGTAATGTTTGGTCTCCACTTTAAATAATCACTAGTCTTGTTTTTGAATGCTTTTTGAAAGGGTAGGGCATATCCAGTGATTAATTGTTTATGTCGTTTGTATTTAACAATTAATATCTACTTATTTCTTTTGTTAATGTTAATTAAAAATGTGCTTGAACTATTTTGTTCATGAAAAGGGCATGTAAGTGTAATCCTTGTCAGCAAACTGATGCTAGTTATGCTTGGTTTCTGTTATTTTTTGGTTCAACTGATCACGCAATCCTGCTTGTATCCAGCCACAACAACCAGCTCCAAGACCCCGCCCTCCTGCAGTCAATGGCACTGCTCCTCCTCGGCAACCTTCGACAAAACCTCAAACTACAACACAGACGCAGGATGAAGAGCCCATGTCTCCTACTTCAAGTACATCCTCCAGTCAAGATAATGAGATGGAGGAGGAACTCAGCTCTGCCAAAGAGCCATCAAGCTCTGCTTCCGCTCCTGCTCCTGCTCCTCCAGCTCCAGCTGCTGCTGCTCCTCCTTCACCAGCCTCAAGCTCTATAAAGAAGTCGATATCATTGCCTTCTGCACCTGAGAGCCGCTCAAGCCAACCATCAAGTAACACAGTAGATGTCAAGTTGACTGAATCAGCTCCCACCAAGGTTGTAAAATCACCAATCAAGCCTTCGGGGGCAAAGTCTCTGCCAACCCCAGAAGAGACGGTAATGGAAGAAGCTATTCGAGTGACCCGAGGCAGATTGAGGAAGACTAAATCCACCACAGCAAACAAATAGATTGACTTGCCACACTTCTCATCTCATTATATTAAATGTGAGTATTTAGCAGTAGGTTGGATGTGCTTGTGAAATGATTATCTGAAAAATATAAAGATGGAATAACTGGGGATCATTTTTTGGTCTCCTTGTATATTCGTTCCTCATCTATTTTGATTCAATTGGTTGCTTTATATAGTTTATATATCTTCTGATCTCATTAGCTATGGTAAGAATATGCACAATGTGACGTCTTATGCGTTACCAACTTTCTTTAAGTTACCATCACCTGCAAGGACCACCACTGGTTAGTGGTTACAGTTTTGGGTAGTTTGGATAGCATTTAATATGTTTTGTTTTTAGTTTTATTTTGGCTGATTAGTTTAGATGAGATTTGGTAATAGAGACATGCTACTATTAATTGTATTAATGGTCTACTTTTAATCTTACTTATGTTGATTAGGTAGATGGAAGATCAGCGTTACAGTGTTTAGCAACTTGGTGTGCCATTTAAGCTTTACATGTTAGGATATGCCTTGAATCTGTTTGTCTACTACAAACGACTTTGCACAGGGATTAAACTGCTTGGTTAGTGACTCGGGGTCCAGGAGTGATGTGTCCTTGTTGTTGGGTTCAGTGGTGCAATGTTATTTATTACATTGGGCTATGATTTTTTGTTTGGGCTCAAGCCGCTCAACTTCAGGGGACTTATATTAACTCTTCGAGTTTTAACCTAGCAATCTAGCATTTTTTTTTTAATTTGTACTCGTAGTTAACATTGTTAGTGAATTACTTGGTCAGCGAGTCAGGTTATTAGGGTGACACGCCTTAGTTTGGGGGCATAGGGGTGCAATAATTTTTGTTATATTAGGCAATGATTTGTGTTTAGGCCTATTTTGTGGCCTTTTCATTAGTGTTTTGGGAATCATACAAACAATTTAGTTTTAAGCTAATCTCTGTAATCTGTGTTATCTTCCAAACCAGTAAAACTTCCTCTCGCATGATGCATTGTCATGGATATAGATAACTAGAGTTGGTAAAAGCCAACACGACACGACATGAACCTAACACGAAAATATCAGGTTAGTATTAAGGGTTTACGACACGTTTAATTAAACGAGTCAACATGATACGAAACGTTTAATTAAATAGGTCAGGTTAGTGTTGAGAATTCCAACATGAAACTAACACAAATCAACCCACTTAAGAAAAATAACCAATTATGTATGAAAATTATGATAAATGTTATATATGAGGCTAACATTTTTATTTATGATGCGACAACATAAACCGGATACGAAAATAGTGGTTTAGTGTCCAGAACATTCAACACGATTGATTAAACAGGTCAATATGACAACTTTATTAAGTGGGTCGAGTTAGTATTGAAGTCCTCCAACCTGTTTAACTTCACACAATATTGACTCGACACGACACGTTTGTCAGCTCTATGACATGTTTGAGAATTATGTACGTATGTTCTTAGCATATCTTTCATAACATAACATCTCTACCTTCTAACGATGTGGATCGGATCACCCCAATCTGGCCCCGGCCAAGCTCTAAAGAAACGTACTGTTCCAACATCTAGAGGATCACATTGTTGGAAATGCGACTGATCCACCTACCAAAGAGGGCAACACGAATATAATCCAAGTATATACTTACATACTTATTGTTTTGTTCTTTGCGAGAATCTATGAATGAGTTTATCGTTTACTTGTTCACAATCTCAGAGGAGATGATCACGTGGATTAGGTGATTGCTCTGATTAGGGTTGGATTGTTTTGATTTAGAAAATCTACTTCTTTCCTGGGTCTCGGGACCAGATTATAACATAATTAGAGAAAGCTTATTGGAAGATCTAGTTCATGTCTAATGTTCAACAATTATAAATACTTTCACTCTCACTCTCACCGTCTTATCCATCTCTATTGGTGAGACTCAACTTTGAGTATAGAAATACAAAATGAGTTGTTTTTTTACCTCCAATAATTATACCCAACTAGACCTGATAAATGGGTCATTCGGGTCGGGTATGGGTTGGGTCATATAGTTATCTGGTCAAGGTCGGGTCGGGTCGGGTCATTTCGGGTTTCGGGTTGATTTCTGGTCGACAAATAATCGGGTCGGGTTGGCTATCGGGTCAACACTTCGGGTCGGGTCGAGTTTGGGTCGGGTCAGTTCGGATAGGGTCAATTTTCGGGTGCAAATTTCGGGTCAACTTCGGGTCGGGTAAACTTTGGGTCTGGTCATATTCGTGTCGATGCATTGGGTTAAATTCAACTCTATATATATATTTATTTATTTTTTGACGAGAAACTCACTATATTTATTAAGGCTACTTTTTTCATGGAATATACTCATATAGTAATTGTTAGACTTTTATTGACCTTGTTTTTTTTTTGGTGTTTAGATTGGGAATCAATTTCAGGATCTCCTGAAACTAAAAGGGATGCTCTAACTAATTGAGTTATACCTCACTCTCTTATGGACCTTAGTTTTAATACTCTTATTATCATTGTCACTGTTCATTGTTGTAATAATTTCTTTGTATTATTCTTATAATAATTTATAATATAATCTATGTTTTTTAAGTGCTCCATTAATTTTAACTGGACATACATTGATACATGTATGCAGGCATGCCGTGCAGGAAATTGATCAATATTAGACTTCCTATTATAATTATCAGTAATTTACATTATAGAATTTTACCAGTTGAATGTTCTTAAAATATTTACTGTGGTGGCGATTTCAACAAGTACACACAAGAGTGACAAGACAATATTTTTTTTCTAATAAAGACTTAAAGAGTAGTAGCGTGGATGGACGCCAAGTCGCCAAGTACACTTACTCGCATTGTGAACTTTTCTTAACCAATTCGATCAAATATATGTTATGACGTGCTTCGTTTGAAATTAAATTTACTGATAAATTGCAAATTAGGAGGTCAAACCAGCCAACATATACTCAATTTTATTTTTGTGACCGATTAAATCAAAAATAGGTTATAACATGCTTCGTTTGATAAAAAATTTATTGTTAATTAGGAATTCAAACAAGTCAACTTAAACTCGGTTGTAATTAGTTCTTAAAATTACATGCTTTAATGTAAAATAATATATGTGATCAAGTACTTAAACAGTACATAAGGGTGGAAAACGACACAAAATTTTATTATAAAGTTGATTAATAACATTAATGTAAACCTATCCGATTCGAATTAATTTTTTTCAAATGAAACTCATAACAAGATTTTTCCTATTCAAGGTAATTTGATCTCAAATTAAAACTTGATAAGATTAGATTAAACCTTTTTCGGGCTACTTAATAGCCCGGTCTCTGACTCTCCGGTCTAAATTACTTCATAGGATGTCTTATCACTATTAGTTATGCAAATATGCTTGTATCTATCTACTACTCAATTAAACAACTAAACTAATGTAATAAATGAATATTACTTTTTGATTGAACATAAGATCATTATTGTGCATTATATATTGATGTTTATATTTATAAAAACAAAAATTTATTCAGTTATAAACTTATAATGACTGAGTGTTGGGTAATTGGTGCACAACACAATATGATACTTCCTCCGTTTCTTTTTAGTTGACACGTTTCTTTAGTCACATGTGCTAATGCATAATTTCAGCCATTTATATCCTTAATCACCGATAATAAAAAATTATGAAAAGTTGATATTTTGAAAATAAATATCGTGACGAATGTTACAAGATCTTACATGACTATATTTTTCATTTCATATAAAACACAAAATATGGTTAAAGAGGAGTGTGTGAATAAAGTCAAAACGTGTCAACTAAAAAAAACGGAGGTATTATTAATTAAGTGAAATATTCTCATATTCAGATATAAGATTACGAACACACTTGTTGATCAATTAAAAATTTTCAAAATTTCAATTTTAACAAAGTTACAACTTAAAAGTGAAAATTTAAGAAGGAAACAAAAATAAAACATTTAACTTGGTTAAAAATTATGGGAGTCTTTCCCCCAAATGGCTAAAACTTCAAAATTGTTAGCGGGAATACTCCCTCCAAATTTCGGATTTTTTACCAAATTGAGCTTTTTTGGCAAAGTATTTACCAAATTGGTCTCGTGGCAAAAATATTTCCCAAACTAAGCTTCTAGGGTAAAACGCTGTCTCGGACAGCGTTTTACACCCAGTTTTTTTTTTTTAAAAAAAATTCAAGACATAAAACTCTGTCTCAGACAGCGTTTTATGGTTAATTGACTTTTTTGTATGTATTTTGCTAAAATATATTGAAGTACACGTATTTTGTGTATGTAAAAAGTAAAACGCTGCCTGAGGCAGCGTTTTACTTAAAGAATAAAACGGCAAAAGTATTATTCCCAATAGGAAAACGCTGCCTCAGGCTGCGTTTTATTCTGTACAATAAACGCTGCCTGAGGCAACGTTTATTGGGGGCTTTTTTTTTTATAAAATATGAAATACGAAGTTTGAGAAAAAAGTCAAACAGGTAAAACGCTGTATGAGACAGCGTTTTACTTCTTGGATTTTTTTTTAAAAAATCTGGGTATAAAACGCTGTCCGAGACAGCGTTTTACCCCATAAGCTTAGTTTGAGAAATACTTTTGTCACGAGACCAATTTGGTAAATAATTTGCCAACAAAACTCAATTTGATAAAAAGTCCAAATTTCCAAGAGTAAAAGTAAAGTGACTAAATTCTAAAATTCCAAAAAAATAAAATAAAAAAAAATAATAAGAAAAAAAAAACCTACAGCCCTAAATCTTCCTCAGCCGTTTTCACTCTCTCTTTTGTCTTCACTCTTCTAACTTCTCTAATCTTATGCTACTCATCTGATCTCAAGCGCTCCGGCAAGGCAAGGTTTCCCTCTTTCTATCTTCCTCTTCTTTATTATTGCAGTTTTTTGTTTCAAATTTTATGATTTTCAATTCAAGTTTTGTGATTGATTGATGTTAATTTGATACTTTGAGATTAGGTTTTGATTTTCCATTTTTTTTCACTTATAGGAAGCCAATTCATGAGCTTCCTGTACTCGAGGTGCACTTAATTTGATTTGCATGAGGTTCTCCATTCCCTCAGTCGCCTTCTGAGCTTTCTCTCCTCCATTGAAGCCAGCCTTTGAGGTAAATATTTTCTTTTTAGATTATTGAATATCAATTACTTTCTCAATTTAGAGCTTAATTTCATATTATCAGATTTAAGCTTTTTGAAAAGATAGCCAATTTAGGGTTCTTGAGACATTACGTTAAGGTAGCCCCGATAAAATGTTTGTCCTTATATTTCTCATTTAGGTCGACCTCTTTGTACCATTTGCTAAAATTCATCTTAGCTTGGACATCATTAATGAAAGAATTGAAGGGATGAGGAAGATGATTTTGTTTACTAAACTGTAATTGTAGAAAACTAAATGATATTCAAGCTTTCAAGAGGCTACTATCTAACTAACTAACTATCTATCTATCTTTTTCTTTCAGGCTACTATCAATTTAAATATTAATTCTGAAGTATGCCTACCTTGATTATCGATGGTTAATAATACTAGCCTCTCAAATTTCCACCCTACACTCTTAGCTTTGATAATTTCTTAACTATGATATTGTTGAAATTATCTCACAATTTCTGCCCAAAATACTTACTAGTTACTTATTATCAATTTTTATGGGGATGTTGGTTTTTTATATGCAGTCTTTATCTTTTGGTTGTCCATAAGCATGCGAGTTATTTTTTTCAATTGATGTTATGTTGACATGGTCTTAATTTGAATGTATATAAAAACAGAAGGTTGATTTTCCCTTATTGATTGGTTTAGATATTATTATTTTGTCTCCACTGCAGCATTTCAAATTATGTGTGGATATTAGTCTCAGAATTATGATTCAAATATTTGAACATTATTGGATAAGAGATGCTACACCTTATCTTAATCTGACAATAACTAATGATATTATTCTTGCTTTTTTTGCAGCAATGGATGATCATATTATTTACGACAAGCCTATTATTTAACCAGAGGGAACAGAGGATGAGTGTACACCAGAGGAAGAAGCCAATGTTCGTACACAAGAGGAAGAAGCCAGTGATCCTGAACTTATAGTTGAAAACAACAATGTGAGCACTATGGAATCTAGCTTTCAAGCTGTAGAAAAGAAACGGAGTCTAGTTTGGCCGAAATTCCTCACGTTTGACAAGACGAAATCTACTAATGGGAAACAGAGATCAATTTGCAAACATTGCCAAAAAGCATCCTTCATATCCAACCCCCATTTTGGAACCCAAAATATTCAAAGGCATCTAAGAAAATGTAGTGCATATGAGAAATATTTGAAAAACCAAGGAGGAAATGGTTCAAACAAAGGTAAAATCTTTAACCAAATTGTGTACAGAAATCTGGTAGCTAAAGTCATAATAAAACATGGGTATGCTTTCTCTTGGGTTGAGCATGATGGTAATAGAGAAATTCATGCATATTTAAGTGATGATGTAAAATTCATTTGTAGGAACACTACTAAAGCTGATTGTTTAAAAATGCATAAAACTTTGAAGGCTCGGTTAAAGGAAAACTTAGTAAAGTCTCTAGTCGTATCTCAGTCACATGTGATATATGTGGACTCTTGTCAAACTGAGGGATATTTGTGTCTGACAATTCACTATGTGGATGATAATTGGAAATTAATTAGTATATTGCTTAATTTTACTCATATTGATTCACCACACACTGGAAAGCCCATGTATGCTGCTGTGCAATCCATGCTTCAAATTGGGGTATTGATGATAAAATTTTTTGCTTCACATTAGACAATGCCTTTAGTAATGATAGAATGCAAGATTATTTGAAGGAAACTCTACTTGCATGAGATGCTTTGTTGTATAATGGTGAGTTTTTTCATGTACGATGTGCTGCACATGTATTAAATCTCAATGTTAAAGATGGACTTAAGGTCATTGAACATATAGTTGAGAAAGTAAGACATTGTGTGAAGAAGGTAAAATATTCTGAAACAAGAAAAAACACTTTTTGATCTTGTGTAAGTCTAGCTAAGATAAAAGAAACAAAATCATTGTGGCGTAATGTTCCTACGAGGTGGAACTCTACTTACATGATGCTTGATAGGGCTATCTTATATCGTGAGGCTTTTAGGGAGATGTCTCAAGTTCAAAAATGGTGTCCTACCTTTGAATAGTGGGATGTTCTTGAGAAGATTCGAGATGTTTTAGAACCCTTCTATGAGACAACTAAGATGTTCTCAGGAAGTGAGTATCCCTACCTCAAATCTTTATTTTGGGAATGTTTGGAAGATTCTCATGCTTTTGATAGGGTTGGAGCACGATGATGATGATGTTTTGAGGACAATGGCAATAGAAATGAAGAGCAAGTTTGATAAGTATTGGTTTAACTTAGAACAAGATGATTATGGCATGTTATTTGCATTTGCTATGATTCTTGATTCTTGTTGCAAATTATCAGTGCTAAAGTTTTGTTATGAAGACATATTTGGAGATGTTGAGGCTACCTTGAGAGTTAGTGATCTCCATCTTAAGTTGGAGAAATTTTATAAGCTATATGCCCAAATTGGAACATCATCGACATTGAACAACAACACTGATATGGCACATGCCTCACATTCCAGAGCCTCCATAAACAGCACTTCAACTAGAAACCGCAAGCGAAAATTCGACTATTTTGCGGTAATTGTTCTTCTGTTATTTTATTTTGACATCTGCGCATGTCTTTTGGCCGTTCTCAGGAACTTGAAACAATTTAAGCATAATTTGCCTCCTTTTAAACATCAGCTTTTGACAAACCCTTCAAATCCTTATTCGGATTAAAGCCTATCATAATTACTTATGCTTGGATCTTTTAGCATGTTGGCTAGTAAACGGAGAGAGTTATTCTGTATTTGTATGCCTATATTAAAGCTTTTGTAGAAAAGATCTATTGACCTGGAAACTTGGGCAAGTTGATGCGTCTGCTCTTTTTTATTTTATTAGAATTAGAAGTTATATACTAGATTGTTGTGAAGAGGTATTATGAGCTTTTTGACGTTGTAGCCGGGATTAATTAAAAATACTTGAAAAGTACTCCGTACTTTTTTTTTTAATTGTCAAGCCTTTATGTTTTGTACTCTGTTGTGACGACCTGAACTCTTTTTCTTGGAACTTCATTAGAAAATTACTTTATTTCTTCTCGATTCCATGTGATGGGAGATTGCCTTCCTAATTGCTTTTGCCTGTTTTTTCTATTTGTTGTAGATCTTGTCACTCATCCTATTACATGATGTTCTACTCTACTTCAACACTTTTTCTTCTCTTTGCTGTTTTTTTGGGAAAGTCAAAATGTTGGACCCTTGTGACTTTCTCATATTAAAGTTGAAGAAAAACTAAGAAGCACTTCTGTAAAACCACACCACCTGAGTTTAAATAATTTTAGCAGGTCATTATGTGATATTACTAGTTATAATACCTGGCTATTTGGCAGTTAACTTATATTTGCCTTCTGTTTTTCTTGTGTTTACTTTATTTTTTCTGTCAGTTATAATCCTTTTGATTATCCTTCATTCTTAATATATTGATTAGACTGTTTTTTACATATTTGCCTTATGTTTTTCTTGTGTTTACTTTATTTTTTCTGTCAATTACTGGTTTTTTTTTTAAGATTATAAGTTAAGTAGTTATTAAGATTATAAGTTAAGTTTATGCATATGTTATAAGTTAAGTAGTTGTTATTAAGATTATAAGTTCAGTTTATGTTTTTTTGTTTGGTGATGTGTTTTATGGTTTGTCGTTGACTCGTTGTGTTGAATTCAGGAATATGACGATAAAGAGGCCTCATCTTCTTTTGATGAGAGGTCAATATTGGATGTTTACCTTGAGGACCCTAAACTAGATCGGAAAGCGGAGCTTGACATATTAGCTTTTTGGAAAGAAAATGAGCATCGATATAAAGGCCGTTCTCATTTAGCTAGAGATATTTTGGCCGTGCCCCTGACAACCTTGGCTTCCGAATCAACTTCAGTATTGGGAGTCGAGTATTGAATAAATGGAAAAGTTCATCAATTCCTGAAAATGTGGAGGCTTTAATAACAATTCGTAGTTGGATGTACTCTTTTGAAAGTAAGTATTTTATTATATATTTTTAAAATATGTATATTCATATTCCCGCATTCTTGTTTAGAGCTGTACACTCTTGTTTCTTTATTTTTGCATTTATAGTGTATTTGCTTATATTATTGTTTTTATATTTATGTAGCAAATGAGGATGATGGATTTTTTGGTTCTTATGTGGATTGGGCAGCGGCTCCAAGTGTTAATTGTCAACAATTTTAAAGGTTGGATATTGGAGTAATTATTTAGAATATTTTAAAATTTCATTTGGTATTGAACATTAAATACGCATTTATTATTTTACTATTTTTTATTTCTAGACTTGTGAGAATTGTGACTTTTATTTCAAGCCTTAGTAAATTTTTTTCTCAATTTATGGACAAACTCCGTAGAATAGTCGTTAAATTTCAATCTTTTTACGAATTTTTAATAACTTATAAAGAGAAAAGGCCGAAGAAATCGAGAAAAGTAATGCTCAAAATATGTAAATTACTTACACTGTTACACGTTACAAATTAAAAAAAAAAAAAAAAAGTCAGTTTGATTGCGGTTATTTTCTATTTCAGTTTGCTTAGGTCAAATCGTTAGCTTAAATAGATTTTGGTCATTTCAGGTATAACGTAATCTTAGTTCGGGTCACTTTGGGTTTCGAGTCTATTTAGGTCAATTAATTCAAGTTAAAGGTCGGGTCAACTTCGGGTCGGGTCATCTCGGGTCTCAAGTTAACTTCGGGTCGGGTCATTTCAGGTCGGGTCACTTCGGGTTTCGGGTCAAGGTCAGGTCAATTCCACTTCGGGTCGGGTATGGGTCGGGTCGGGTTGATTTCGGGTTTCTGGTCAATTTTGGGTCAATGTTTTCGGGTCGATTTCGGGTCATTCAGGTCGGGTCATCTGGTATGGGTCAGGATTGCCAAGTCTATACCCAACCCATTTCTCAAATTAGCAACTCATGTGAAGTCTAATTTTCCAATGGTGAGACACTCTAAAGTATATTAATGTCACTTTCAATTTATGGCCCACCAAATCCATATTGTAAGTTTTTCCAAAAAAAAAATAATTAAAACTTAAATAAATCTAATATATATAAATAAAGTAGGCATTTTTGGAGAGCATTCGGAGCGCCACGTAAGAAATATACTTATTTTGACCAATAAGAAAAAAGATTTGTATTTTATTTTTTAATTAAAAAATTATGTCACCACCTAGATAAAAGTAACGAATTAGAATTGATATATCTAATTTTAATGCCTTTGGTTATTTTTAAATAATGGAATACGATTAGATGTTATATACTTAATATATGGATGGCTTTGGTTATTTTTGGAGATGATGAAAAAATTCCAATGCATAGATTTGATTTTATATCGCAACAATTTTTCATTTATTAGTAAATATGTTGATTTATTTTATATAAATGTAAAGATTTAATTTATATCAATTTCAGTTTGGCTAATATATCACGGTTCAATTTATCCATTGATGTAGTAGGTTGGTTGTGGACGAGGTAGGTGATTCTATCGAAATAAAAGATATGGTAAGACAATGAATAATGATTTAGGATTTAAATTATTAAAATTTTATCATTTCACATTAAAGATTTTATATAACGGAAAAAATATCATATTTACACTTTATTTATATTTAATAAAGTCATTATAAATTATAGTAAAAAAAAATAAATATTAAACTTTTGTAAATTTGTCTGAAATTATTAAATACAATAAATCAAATAATTAAAAATCTTAGATAAAAAAATCGTGCATCGCACGGGCTTCCATCTAGTTACAAAATATATTATAATATTGATAAAGGGCCTACACTTTTTGTCAAATGAGACTCAAAGTTGAGTATCTAAACTTAGTAACTTTCTTTTGGAGTTGTTAAGTTTAGGTACCAACTTATTGGTATCCTTTGCAAAAAATACTCCCTCTCCTTAAAAAACTCTCTTAAGTCTCACCGTTGGAGATGGTCTAAATACTCCCTCTGTTTTTAAATACTTGCTCCATTTCTCTATGCCGAAGTTTTAGGAGAAATTGGAGAAATTAATAATATATGGAGGTAGTAGGGTAGGTGGAAGAATAAAAAAAATTGTAAAAAGTAAAAGTAGTTGATAGAATTGAAGGAGAGAGAATATGAAATTAATAAAATACTTTCTCTGTTCCACAAATATTACAACAAGGATAAAATTACGCATCTATAAGCACATTTTATATGTTAAATATCTATAATTATATAAGAGTAAAAATAATAAAAATTTGACATTGTGAAAGTATTTTACGAGATGAATCTAACAAGATCCCATATGACTATATTTTACTTTACGTAAAAATCATAATTTGTGGTCAAACAAGCATGATAAATAGTGCAAAAGTCTAGTTGTTTCAATATTACTAGAACGGAGGAAGTATGATTGGGTCCACTAGTTGAGAGAAATGAATTAAATATTGTAACAACTTTTCTAATAAGGAAATGGAGCAAGTATTTAAAAACGGCTGAAAATGAAAAGTGGAGCAAGTATTTAAAAACGGAGGGTGTAGTGTACATTTTTATTTATACAGTTTTCAAGGTGTAACTTTTACCATCAATATCATAATTTACAGGAAAAATTAGAAATAATAATCCCAACTTTCACGTATTTTGTTTTAATAATCCCAACTTTGGATTATTTTGGAATACTCCGAACTTTGGAGGCTGTTGATTTTCTTCAATCCCAAAAACCAGTGACCGGTTAAATGGATTAATTTTTTTTGTTTTTTCTAAGTGACATATTAAAAGTTCATTGGTTAAATTTTTTTTTTTTTAAAAAAATATCAGCCAATTAGCCATTCCCCAAATTCCGGCCACCTAAGCCTTGACGTCGGCGGCTGCTATTTCCCCCCCTGCGCCGCTAATTCCCCCCCTGCGCCGGCTTCCCCACTTCCCCTGCGGCGGTGTTGCGACCCACACCCACCCCTAAAACCTCCCTTTCCTTTCCCCTATTTTGAAATCACCGGAGAAACGCGAGCGGGATGAAATTGGTGTTGTTGGAGTTAGGGCTGTGTTACAGGGCAGGTGCTGATGGGGAAATTCTCTGTGGTGGCCGGTGTTGGTCGAATTTGGCTGCGATTTGGGGTTTTTGGGAGTAGGGATGGGTTACCTTGGTTGTTGCGTGGGGTGGTTGCGTGGGGTGGTTGCGTGGTGGTAGCGTGGGGTGGTTGCGTGGAATGGGGGTGACGCGGCGGCCCGACGAGCTGGGCAGTGGTGGTGGAGGTTAGGGTGGGCCGGTGGTGGAAGGTTAGTGGTGGTGGAGGTTAGGTTGGCGGTGGTTTTTTCTGCTTTTTTGTTTTTAATTTTTTATAAAATTTTTGGATCAATCAGGACTTGACATGTGTCAAGTGACCTGATATAATAGGTCATGGACTTTTGCTGATCGGTTAAGGATTGAAGAAAATCAACAGCCCTCAAAGTTCGGATTATTCCTGAATAATCAAAAGTTGAGATTATTGAAATAACATACGTGAAAGTTGAGATTATTATTTCTAATTTTTCGTAAATTACATATTATTAGAATTTATAAAAAGCTAATGGCAAATATTATATTTTCCCCGTACCTTTTACTTGACACGTTTCTTTAGTCATGTTTGCCAATGCACAAATTCAACCATTAATATCTTTAATTATCGATAAACAAAAATTATGAATAGTTGATATTTTGAAAATATATATCGTGCCGAATCTAATAAAATCTCACGTGACTATATTTCACATTACATATAAAGCACAAAACATGGTCAAAGGGGTGTGTGTAAATAGTGCTAAAGTTAAAACGTGTCAACTAAAAAAAACGGAGGTAGTACATTGAAACGAATCTAAGAATACTAGATGAAGCCCGTGCGATGCATGTTTGTTTGTATTTTTTCAAATAAAATATTCTACTAAATATATATTTATCTCCTAAAATTAGTGATATTCGATTGCTTACTACTTGAGTTTTTTTTATTTTATTTCACAAAGTTTCATATGTGGCTAGTCACATCGTATGGTCAGGATTACTTGGTCAGGGGCTACTCGGTTGGTCAAGGGCAACTCAATCGATCAGGGGTCACTCGGACAGTCAGGGATTACCCGGTCAATGTTTTGATATATCTCAGCCAGTCACACGATATGGTCAGCCACACGAAAAATGTGCTGATTTTATTATTATAATTAATATAAAATTTTATATCTAAAATAAATTGCAATTCTTTTTTTCATTGGCTAAAATATAATATTTTTCTATGTGATGCTCTAAAATATCTTGAAAAACTCTCCTTTATTAATTTTTGTAAAATTTTATCATAATGTTGGTTCCATACATTAATCACCCAAATAAATTATTTAATTTTATTCATGATAATTGTTTAAAAATAATAGCCTTATGTATCGCTCTGATAATTTTTTAATTTATTATTATAATGCTACGTAGTGTTTTAAAAGAACTTATCTTACGTGGCATAATTGTATGGTAGCGTTTTAAAAAATTCAATCCTACATGTCGCTTTTTTTTTTTTTTTTAATTAAAATTCTACGTAGCGCTTTAAAAAAAACTTATCTTACGTGACATAATCCTATTGTGGCGTTTTAAAAGTACTAAGCCTATGAGGTGGTCTAATAATTTTTTAAAAATTAAAATCTTACGTGGCGCTCTAAAATTTCGGTAAAAAACTCCCCTTTATATATATATACTAGTTTTGTGCCTCGGGCGATGCTTAGGTTGTTTATTGAATTTTAGGATAAACCTTTCAGCTTGAATGTTAGATACGGTCATATAATCACTTTTGATAATGCGAGATATTTAAACATGCGATATCATACTTAAATTATTTTTACTAAACTGAAAGTATTTTTACCGATTAAAACTTATTTTTACTAATTCTCTATTATTTTAAATATATTATAAATGGATCTTATTTTAAAGAACCTTTTAAAATGAATTTTATGGTAGAAATAGAACCGAGTTATTAGATTTTTATTATAAGTTATGATTAATTTTGTGTATATGAAATATTAGTAGTGTATTGATAATAAAACTTCTATACAACATTTTTATCTTCAAAAATCTATCCAAAATTCGATTATTTAGCATCTTATTGTCGCTTATGTGGCACGATACTTGGCGAAAAACTGGAATGCCAAGTGTTGCTGTCTCATGGCTTGGCCGCGAGACCAACTTTATTTATTAGTGATATGATATTAGATTTCTATTGTTATGTTGTTTGTAGTGGGTTTTTTTTTTTTAATTTTTTTTTTAAAGGTAAGATAAGAAAGCATTAGAAAGCTCTCCTTACTACAAGAGCTGAGAAACTTTAGTCAAAATGTAGAAAGTGTAACTACGAAAATGAAAATAGACACCTTATTATAGGACACCTGGGAGAAAAATTTATAATATTGAAATGTAGTAAAATTTATAATATTGAAATGTAGTGTCGGAGTGTTGCATGTCTGATTTTCATTGTTTAATAATAGCATTATGCCAATACACTATCCAACGTTGTGTT